AATTTTTTGGACATACCATATCCTAAATGCACAATACAGTGACATTGAAAGATATATCAATACTATAGGTAGTTCTCTAATTGGCTACTAATCTTGGATGTGCGAGGGCTCCGCGAAGCAGTATCACCTGGGTGTAATCCTTACACACTCTTACATGGAGAAGGGCATAAAAATTTATGGAAAAGAAGAAAAAATCCCAAAAATTGAGCATTTTGTAGTCGCACACTCTCTATGCCTTTTTTTTTTTAGAGAGAGATATTGCGAGGCCAAAGAAAAAATTTTCCACTTTTCCTAATCCTTAGAGTCACCTCTCCCTCGAGAAAGCAGACTAAAGGAAGAAGAAAAAATTCTCAAAAATGGAGCATTTTGTACTCGGACTCTTTCCATGTCTTGTCTTTAGATATGTTAGAGGCAATTTGTGCAATCCGGCAATTTATAAAGTACCTAGGCATTTAACAAACTGCCTAGCCATTTTTGGCAATTTGTCAACATATAATAATTATTTACAAAATCCCTAGGTATTCAATAAAATACCTAGGTAATTAATAAAATACCTGGGCATTTTATAAATGCCCAATGAAGATTAGGCAATTTGTTAACATATTAGGGAATTTGTAGAGAAACACATTTACAATGATATAAAACATATTGATGCATGAATGCTGGAGTAACACCAACTCCAGTGGATTTCATTTTTATCTGTGTACTGATAGTAAATTGGTTATTTTTTATGCTCAGTTGATACAGTGTTTTGTAAAGGTTCATAATTTTCTTAATTATTTTTCAATGATATTCTATTTTTCTATGAGACAGGTGGACAGGTCAGTCTTAGCTCGAGTGATGTCTAAATAGATAATAGTTTCCGCAAACTTGGCACTAAGAATAGTTTATAGCCCCAAATTTATGCAAAGAGTTGGTATACTATTTCTAATAATATTCACTTCATGGAGGATGATAACGCAAGTGAAAGAAAAATAATATTACAATTAGTTGCAACAAGTGCTGTAGTAAACAGCATAAATCATAAACAAGTTACTCCCTGTAATTGAAAGGTTATTTGTGAGAACAGCATTAGTCTAAAAATGAAATTTTTTGTTTTTAGAAGTACTTTAGAAGAAATTTTATGCTGCATACAATGGTACCACTCTCCTAAGAAATTTACTTTAATGGATTATGGCTGTTTTTACCGATAACCCCTCAATTACAATTTTACAAAATGTATATCCAACTGTTGCATATGTTTCAAAAATAAAATCAACTGCAACTCAAAGTATTATCCGAACAAATTAAGGCTCAATAAATATCATCAGATTTGGACCCTCCCTTTTATAAAATTAAATATTATGGAAATTAGCTTTTTTCTTGGCAATTTTCAAGTTTTTAATATTTTTTTGTAGAAAATCCAGTTTTGCTTGCAACTTGATTATAATATAACACATTTCTCATTTATTTTTAAATGTTTGTTCTTGTTTATAAATTGCCTGAAAGTCCAATGGCATTTTATGAATAATGTTGATAAATTGCCTAATCTTCATTGGGCATTTTATAAATTGCCTTAAAATTTCATAAATTGACTACATAAAATTAGGCATTTTGTGAAATACAATAAATTCGTTAACATTTTTAGTCATTTTATAAATTGACTGAAATTAGCTAGGTATTTTATAAATTGCCGGATTGCATAAAATGCCTCTAACAGATATATGTATATCGGCCGAGCGAAGCGAGGCCAAACAAAAATTTTTTCATTTTTTTCCAATTCCTAGAGTCACCTCTCCTATAATTTGAGAACATTTTTTACAAAAATGAGCAACAGCAAAGACACATTATTTGGTTTGATAAATTCAATTCAATTCAATTTAGAAGAGGATTTATTTGGCACTAATAATGACAATGCACTTGAAACAAAGTTTTTTCTTCTACTTTCAAATTTTACAACAGCAATTAAATTTTTACAACAAAGTCATAAATTATCTCGGGGGGGGGGGGGGCTACACCCCCTTTGCAAGGCCCTTGTGAATGTGTTAGCATAATGATAATTCATTATTTTACTGACTTCTCTGTCAAAGAAATCATTGGTTAGAAACACATTCTCATGCAGTTTTAGTATTGTTTTTATTTTAATTTTCTTTTTTCAATTAGTTGTAGAAATGGGTCAGACAATCAAGCTTTTTCAAAGATATTTTTCCAAGCGTAATTGAACAAGGGCTGCATTCAGGAACTTCAGAAAACGTCAGAATTGTTGGAATATTTTAACCCTTTCAAGTCAAAAGTGTACCGGCAACATCATTATTACGGTGGTATTGCTTGTAATATTCCAACAATTCTGACGTTTTCCGAAGTTCCTGAACGCAGCCAAAATATGTGACGAAAATTTATTTTGCCAAAGCTGTTTTCAATTAATTTGATTATTTTCATCCTGGATGATAAATTAGGTTTCAATCCTTGATTGGGGCTTGCGCTTGGGTAATAAGAGTACAACCAAAATTTTCTCACTTCCCCAAATGGGGAATAGAGATAACATGTTTTTCAAATGAAAAAATTTCCACTAAAATGAACCATGCTTGTAAGAGCATAATTGATCCCTCAGATACTGTGAAAACGTCATTTTCACTTATTTATAGATTTGGGGTTTATGCTTCTACGATGACTTCTTTTATTTTCACTAGAAAGTTTATTTTCATAATCTGACGATGAGCAATTTTTGTGCCTAAGCCAAAGGCGCAATTTTTTTCTTTTGGCAAAAGGCGCACTGGGATTTGCCCGGTTGCCCGCCGGGCCTATCCGTCCCTGATCGATGGAAAACTGAAAAAATCGTAGCTCCAGTAGTGTATTCTCTGCTATAAGGCAAAAGAATTTTATTTTTACATACGATTTGGACTCTGGGGAGCAAAATATAAAAGTCAACAATGCAGTGATCAATGAATAAAAACAGTACAAATATTTCAATATTGTTCATATTGATGAAATCAAGATTACCAGTGAGGTGGTATCATTGTCAGACAGACGATGACTCAATTCCCGCAAGCGTCAAGTTACTCGCCACTAAATCTGACAAATTTGTCGAGCTTGTTGCACGACAAATTTGTCTTTGGTGCAGCTAGTCAGTTGGCAAGTGAAATATTTTATTTATTGATACAGGTGTATCGAATACTCACCTGTGATTTAAGTCACAGGCTGACTCGAATATGATCAGCTGACCGGTGGTGAGTCAAGGTAGTTTGCTTGGACTGCCAGTTTAGAGACTCTGCGACTTAAGGCAACGTATGACTGACATTTCTCCACAACCAGTACACGAGTATTAGATAGTAATATGTTTAAGCAGTTTCCAAATTGTGTCCGTGACATAAGAAAAGGCCTACGTGCAAAAAGTACCTTTTGAGAAAAATCACTTTCAAGTTTTCAACATCCTGTAATTTTTGTTTTGATTCAGGTAGAGATGCGGATTTTTGAATTTGGTTTGTCTACTTTCCTCTGCACAGCTAGCTTCACAACTTTTGTGGTAAACTTCAAACTATCATTAATGATACTTATGCCATGTCAAAGCAATCTTAAATCTCAGATGAAAATTAATTTGGTTCAATTTTGTAGCCTTGAGCATGAATTTGAGTTTAAAATTGCTTTTTTTTAATGAGTATGCTTAATTGCATTGGGAAAAATTGCAATTGAATGATTTCATTTTCCTCATCCACCTTTTTTTTTGTTTTCCACACTCGAGTATTATTATTTTCTGCCACTATCCTCTCGCATTAAAAATTATAGTAGAGATTTCCTTCAGCACATACTTTATATATCAGACTACTTTCACTCCAAATCATGCTTCAAATTGCATCACTTTTGCAGCAAAGCTTTATGGTTCACAAGGCAACACCCTGTATGTGGGTATACCACACAATGAAGGAAAAAGGGTTTTATATAATGAAAATAGGCTGCCCACTGCTTTGGCGGAGAGTTTGAATTACAGTCGCAGTGTGCCATCGCGGAAAAGGGTTGCAAGTTTTTCGAAGGGTAGTGGGGGTGGAAGAAGTACCAGAGATTCGAATAATAAAGACCAACGAGCGAGCGAGACGGAGTGAAAAACGTCGAAAAGGAAAAGGGTACCCCAAGGAAAGGAACAAAAAAAAAGAAGCAAAGAAAAGAAGAACGGGAATGAGAGAGCGTGTAGAGTCCGGAATCGTAGTGAAAATGTGAAAATGCGACCAACGAAATAGTAATAAGAAAAACGTAGGCGAAATGGCGTCCATTTTCATTGTTGTAGAATGCTGCTGCTGCTGCCGCCGTTGTTAGCGTCGGCGGTGTTGTTTTATCAAGAATTAAGCTACCTCCCCCTTTTAACGCCGAATGGTATAAATGGTATTTCCACAAAGCACAAAGTACGCGGATTCCTTTCTGCTTTATGCTGCAAGACCAGCCAAAATATTTCCTTATCAGCTGCAGGGAACTTAGAGGTGTACAAGATTATCTCACTCATCGAGTAGATTTTTGTAATTAACTTATTATAGCTTCGGTAAATGTAAGTAATTCTTTTGAAAGATTTTTGAAATCAGATGCATAAGTATGCAGGGCATTCCATTAAAAACGCCACCCGATGAAAAGGCATGGGCTGAAGTCAAAAAACTGCACACACCTGGCATGAAATATCACATAAAAGATAACATAGAAGTTTCAAAAGCCTAGTAACACCAATTAGCATAATTTGAGCCCCTTGGAACGAGAATTGTGTAAGTCACATTTATTTCATTTTGAGAAACGAAGATATTGGCGTTCGACCCTGTCATTAATTCTGTGATTCATTTTATGACTGCATTTCTTCTAAAATGTTTTACCAAATGATGAAACTTGACTTTCGATGCAAAAGAACAGCGATTTTCTGCTTTGTGGTGGTGGTAGAAGGGGTCAAATGGACATACATTACTTTTTCAACAGATTTTTCAACATTTTCGCATGGAAAAATAGGGTTTTGGCCATGCTGAACACGATGGTAAAGTCCTGTTGGAGCTACATAGATTGAGCACTTCACCTAGAAACGGCTTGAAAAATCAGTGAAAATGGAGAGTAGACCCAAAATTAAGTAGCTGAATTCCTGGTCCAAAAATATCCCCAAAA